TATTCAAAAAAGAGTCCCCCAACAGATCCAGTTGTTGGATCTGTTGCTCAAAGCATTCATGTTTTTACTTTGCTGTTGTCGGTTTACTGTAAGTAAATGAAACATTTTTATTGTTTGTGTTATTAATGCCTCGGAGTGAGTTATTGAGACAGTAAGTGCCTGTTAATGAGAAATGTGTGGCCTACTCTGGGGAGCTAGAAGCTATTCCGCACTGTAAATCCCAAGCTCTTCTGCTGTGCAGATCAGGGAATTTAACCCACATTTAAAACTATGCAACAACATTCAGCCATGTTAGTCTCCTCAATGTAATCTCCAAATTATATTGTAAATATGTGCTGGTTATTTTAGAGCACTGGTTCTTAACCTTGGGTTACTCAGGAGTTTTGGACTGCAACTCCCAGAAGCCTTCACCACCAACTGTGCTGGCTGGGGTTTCTGGGAGTTGCAGTTCAAAAACATCCGAGTAACAAAGGTTAAGAACCACTGCATTAGAGTGTTGAGCTCCTGAAAACTTAGGGAGAGCAGAAAAATAGATGAAAATAGGAAATCTGCAATAGATCAATGTTTTGTGCTCCGTCACTTGATACATAAATATTTTCAATCTGGTTAGAAGGAGCTTTTTGGATTTTAATTCAGTTTCTGACTTTAGAAATCACTGTGGCAAAAAAAATTCTGCCACCAATAGAATCATGAATTCATGGAGTTGGAGGGGTCCTAGAAGACCATTGAGTCCAACCCTGTGCTTAGTGCAGGGATCAAAATCAAAGCAGGTCTGAGGGATGGTGGGCCAGTTTTCTTTTTAATGCCCTCAGGGTTGGAGCATTCACTAATTCCCAAGGTAGTTGGTTCTATTGTTGTACTGCTCTAACAGTTAGGAAGTTTTCCCTGATATTCAGCCTAAATCTGGCTTCCTGTAACTTGACTCCATTGTTGCGTGATGATTGAGAATAGATCTTACCCCTCTTCTGTAGGACTACTTTTCAAGTATCTCCCCTCAGTCTTCTTTTCTCTTAGCTAAACAAGCCCTCTTCTTGCAGTCTTTCCTCCTACAGATTGATTTCCAGCCCCCTAATAATTCTTATTGCCCTTCTCTGAACTTGTTCCAATTTTTCAGCGTCCTTCTTGAATTGTGGTGGAGATAATACTCAGGATGAGCCCCAACCAGTGCAGAATAAAGGGGGACTAGTACTTCATGGGATTTGGAGACTATACTTCTTCTAATACAGTCTTTTTTGTAGCCACATCACTCTGTTGGCTCATATTCAGCTTGTGATTTGGAACAATCCCAAGATCCTTCTTGCTCATCGAATTCAAGCAAGTATCCCCCATCTTGTAACTGCATTTGCCCCCTGCCCCTGCCGGGGTAGAACTTGGCACTTGTATCTGTTAAATTGCCTCCTGCTGTTTTCAGGCCAGTGCTCAACCCTGTCAAGATCTTTTTGAATGTTGGTCCTCTCTTCCAAGGTATTAACAATTGAATGTTGGGAGAGGCAGGCCCAAGACTGAGCCTTGTGGTAAACCAGTTGTTACCTCCTCCCCATTTGAAAATGAACCCATTAATCCTCACCCTCTGAGTACAATTCTGTAGATAATTGTGGATCCACTTGACACTAGATCTATCCAGCCCACAGCTAGTTTGCTTGCTAATCAGGATCTCATGGGGCACTTTGTCAAAAGCATTGCAGAAGTCAAGATATACTACGTCTACAGCATTTCCTCTGTCTATCAGGGAAGTCACCTGATCAAAAAATGAAATCAAATTATTCTGCCAGGATTTGTCCTTGACAAATCTGTGCTGGCTTCTAGTTACTACAGTATTCTTTTCAAGATACTGGCAGTGTGTATTATCTGCCATCAAGTTGGAACAAGTTATAGCAACTCTAATAGAGCTTTCAAGGAAAGTCAAATATTTAAGGGATAGTTTTCCAAATTCTACTCCCCCAGTGAGTTTCCATGGACAAGTGGGAATCTGAACCAGAATACTAGTTCATCACTCTATCCTCTACACCAGTGGTTCTTAACGTGGGCGATAATGCCCCCCAGTGGGCGATTTCATTTTTCAGGGGGGTGGTAGAACGAAAAGGGGCGGCGTGGGGGC